TAATTTAAACCGCGCATTAATGTTTGCAATTTCTGATGAAATGAGGCCTGAATGATTGGTACCTCTTTAGATGAGCAAAAGACCCAGAGTTGTGTCATGTTTAGTGGTTGGATAAGTTAAAGGAGGCTGAGAAATAGAATCATTTTATTCAATTATTTGTTAATATCTAGAAGCACAAATGGATGTCCAAAAACAGATTCGTTGCATAAATGGATGTCAAGATCTTTATTAATGAATTTATTTTTGGTTTCGGGGTGTGTTTAGTTGGATATGAAATAAGGGAAAATGGATTATTTTTTTCGTTAGAAATGTTCTGATGGAGGCCCATCACAAGAAAGCCCATCTCACCCCTACAGGCGGCAGCTCTAGGATAAGGATAAGGCAAGAAGTCAAGATAGAGAAGGAGCCAAGAACCCAAGATTATCAAGATTAGTCCAAGAAAGATAAGCAAGAATAGCTCAAAACTCCCAAGACTATCAAGATTAGCAAGACTCCAAGCATCATCAAGATTTCCAAAGACTTCCTAGATTCAAGCATAGAGGACTACCAAGGAGATCAGACGGTGGAAGATCAAGCCCAAGAATTCCAAGAGGGTTCGACCTTATCAAGACAGCCCAAGAGATCAATATCAAGATTCATGTTTCTTTTACAATTTCTAAATGTATTATAAATACTGTTATTTCCCAGAATTATTCATCAATTCATACTTTAGATTTTCAGAGTTTCTTCAAGTTCTCTTCTTTGAGTTTTCACCACCTTTTCTCTCTCCTAGAGAATTCGGTGTTCTTCTCTAGAAGCTAGTGATCGTCGGTGCTTGCATAGCCAGCTCCGGTTTTCCATTGCTTCCACGCTGCGTCAGGTGGTATCAGAGCAGGGAATTCGCCCAGTCATGTCCAACCCAGACGGTAGCAGTCACAACCCACCCCGTGATGGAGATCAGGGGTTTCCAGCTGTTTGGACAGCAATCGAAGAACAACGTACAGCCACACGTAACATCGAGCAGCAGTTGGCTGAGATGGCTGAACAACTACGAACCTTGTTACGGGAGGTTGTTCCACGGAACCGGGAACATCCACAGCAAATCGAGGGAGACGACCACGACAGACCACCCGTCCATACTGCGCTACGACGACCAGTCCTGGACAACGACAGTGGTGATGATCTAGAATTTGGTGGTGCTCCAGTTCTTCCCGGCAACGACAGAAACGGTAGAAATTGGCACAATCAAGGTAATTTCAATCCCCGTAGGAATAATGATGAATTTAAACTCAAGGTAGATATTCCTACTTTTAGTGGCGATCTTAGTATAGAGGGACTCCTGGATTTGATCACAGAAGTCGATAGGTTCTTTGATTACATGGATATACCAGAGGAACGAAGGGTAAAACTGGTAGCTTTCCGATTAAAGGAATGCGCATCTGTTTGGTGGGAATGGATGAGAGAAACCCGAATGAGAGAAGGAAGGGGTCCTGTTCGAACCTGGAGGCGCATGAAACAATTAATCAGAGGTAGATTTTTACCTCCTGACTATGAACAATATATGTTTGAATCTTATCAGAGGTGTGCGCAGGGTTCTCGTAGTGTTAACGAATATACATCTGAATTTTTGAGATTAG